GTTTTTTTAATTGATTGATGATTGATTCAATCAACTAATTTGTTGATTGTATTAACTTGATTCTTTAGATATTGAAAATTAAATAAATAACATTATGTTAATTTAAGCGTACAGAAACGTTGCTGTTGTTCCAGCAAAAATCTTATTTTCACTTTACCAAGTGCCTAGTAGGTAATTTGCAGATTACCTAGATAATCTGAACATTACCTAGGTAATTTGAGAAATGGAATAATTTTCGCAGCTTTAACGGATCACCCTAGTTAATCTGCAGATTAGCTAGGTAATGCGCACATTAACGGATTTCGAGCTTTAGCGGTAACAGATACACTAGCACATTGAAAAAATTATTTGTTTTTTGAGTGGTTCATACGGCTATTCAATTTCATTTTTTCCGCATAATTTCGATTCGCTTAGCATACGAGCTACTCAAAACAAATATTAATATATTACAAAGTTTAAGATATCTTTTTACAAATGCAAAGTCACTCGAATTGCGCCATGTTTCGTAATTTTTGTTGGGTAATAACAGAAACATACATTTTGAAGAAAATATTTAAATACAAATGAAAAAAACAACGATTTGATTAATGAATAACGTAATAAATTGGTTTACAAAATAAGATAAGCTTGGCACTTCGAAGCCATACCATACCATAAACTTTTTATTATTGTCTTCGCATTTTTGACATGGTGGAGCTTTTAAGAACAAATTTCAAATATATTTGGATTGCAATTTAACCTATAAATTCCCACTGTCGTTCTTCTGTCCGTCTTTCCTTAAACTCGAGAATGGTGTTAGATAAATGAAATTCAAGACCAGATATGGAAAGCTAGGNTTTTGGGGGCGAAAAACAATTTTCTGGGCGATATAGTAAAACATTATATTAAGAATAATTAGATATTTTATTCGTTATATCGTACTATAATTAAACAAACGAATAACATTATACTAGTCACTAGTCTATTCAATGCAGTACGAATTTGGCGTTAGGCTTGGCCCTGGGCATCGGAATTTTGAAGTGAAGGGGCGATACTATGTTGAAGAGGGCGACGATTCGTTAGAGGTTGAGAAACACTGGTATAGAGCATGTCGCATGCGATACGCATAACATTTTGGCGTGAAATAAATGGCCTTTACAGATGAATATATTTTGATATCTAAATCTATCGAAGTGTCCGTTTTCTAAGAAATTTCTTTAGATACTAATTTAAAAATATTTTTCGTACTTTACATTTTACCAACAGTAAAATTCAGGGTCGGAGTCGAAAGAATTTTAATAATTAGCGACTCCACTCAAAACGTCCGATTCCACATTACTGGTTCTGTCCGACTATGTCTGGCTCCTCCCTCACCACCCGGTCGCCCCATTGTAGGCCTGGCTCTAACCCATAATGGGCCTGCTATAAGAGGCCCTCTTAGCGCCCACAGGGCGAAAAAAGTAAAAAAGAAAAAAAGTATATTTGCTCCACTAAAAATTGTATCCACCAGAGTTTTCGCTAAATTTCGATATTCCCACTAGATCTGCACTAAACTAGCAAATCTGAAGTACAGTACAGTACTCATTTGGACATTAACTTTTAGCCAAACATACAAGTACCAACAGATTTATAATCCATTTTCTTGTGATTGTATAAAATAGGATACTTTTTTTAACTTAGTTTTTCATCTTTCAAACATGGTTTTTCCCCCATTTTCTTCTTCCTGTCATTTCCCAGAGCTTAGAATTAATAATTTAAAGAAAGAAAATAAATTATCTTAGGAAAATTGTTTTAATTTTTATTTTCTTTTACATAGAAATGCTATTAAAATTTATAAGCGTTATAAACAATATTTATTTAATTCATTTATTTATTTTTTATAGTTTATATAAAAATGGAACCAGCCATTACTTTATTAAAATTAAAAAAGTTTCTTTTACAAAAATTAAAATTTTAATAAATATAACATCATATAAAACTATTTTTATAGCTTTTATCAGCTATAAAAATAGTTTTTATAGCTGATAATTTACAATATTTTCATATATTATATGGCCTAAAGTAAAAATTTCGTTTATGAACTTCATTTAATGCCATTTACTTGACAGAAATTTCAAACTTGTCGTACTAGATCATAAAATTCTTTCGTATGTTTTAGTATAAAACATATACAGTAAAACCTGCGTAAACCGGAATATTTTTTCCGGTTTGGCAGGTTTTCGCTTTGAATAAGTTTTTGTAAAATACAGAAAATCGATCCGTTCCGAAGAATTTTTCCCGTTTATGCAGGTTTTACTGTAAATAATCCCAAGTTTCTTTTATAAAAATATACTCTCAGATAAATTCTTCTATAAGATTGTCAGAGTGTACAAAACTGGAATCACTTTGACTTTGAAATCCACTGGAAGTATTTCCAGAAGAGCTATTATTAGCAGAAGAGGAGGAAGAACTGAATTTTCCAACAAATCTCGACAACTTAGATCGCGAAGTGGATGTATTTTTATTTGAATGGACGGAATTAACAGCGGGGTGAATAGAATTAGCAGTTGACTGAATAGAACTAGCAGTAGACTGCATAGAATTGGATGCAGACTGCACAGAATTAGAAGCAGATGTTATAACTATCGACGATATGGAAGGAATAGAAGACAAAGAATAGGTTGACGACGGTGGAAAGGAGACGCTCGGTTGTGGACTAGCAATTTGTTTTTTACTTTGACTGGGAGCTGGCAACATTAGAAGACTCGCGTCTGAATTTCTAGAATAAGCATTAAATGAAGCGTTATACAGAGCCGGACAAAACTCGGGAGATGGCAATGGAATGTCATTAGTGACTGTATTTTTGATAGAGGCTAACAGATTTCTCCATGCCCAACTACATATGAAGGCTCTTGAGAAATCCAACGCGGAAACAAATCGTAATAAAGATGGCATCTCGCAAGGTTTGTAAATCAATGGTATCAATTTCCTTTTTAATTGGGCTAAACAAAAATAAATAAATATTCAGATTACTCTTGTAAAAATAATTAATAATATCAAGTTATCTTACTATTTAGTAAACTTACAGATGGCTAATCCTGTCGCATATCTTGTTTGAAACTTGCACTCCTCACTTTGCAAAAATTCCGGTGATAAGATAACAAGCATACGATTGCATCTAATGTACAAAAATATATAAATCTTAAAAATTAACAACGTTTAAAAACTTCAAAAAAATATAAATACAATAGTTCATACGATAATTTACTGACCGTTCATCAATTATTTTAACAATAGCTTCGTAAACATTGACCCCCGGCATCAAGTTACGATCTTTGAGACATAATTTGATTCCAACTTCGGGTCTTTCTAAATATTCTGCTAACATATAGACAAACTCTGCATCTTTTTCTGCATAGCAAACATAAGCGTCAAAGTATGCAACATCACAGTCATCATCTGAAAATACATAAAAGCTAAATATGTAGTTGTGCATATATGAATAATAATGATTCGCGGAACATTGATATAACATGCAATAAATAATTTGAATAATAAATTTGACCTACAGAAGTTACATTTAACATTATTTAATAAAAAATTATAATAACAAATTTTTTTTTACTGTTTTGACATCGAATATTTATATCATCCACAGTCAATACGTTAGGATCGTCAAGTTCGGACAAGTCCTTTGGTCCCGACGAAACTAAAAATTCAAGTTGTAATTTAATTAAAAACGTTGATCCGAATCATCATACTTAAAATAAAATAATAAAAGTACAAACTTTCGGCGACTTGAAGTGGAGCTTCCTGTAATCTCTGATTCCTCGATAGATATGTTCTTACGTCCTGTTCTGTTAATAAAGATTATTTAGTTCATACATACTAAATACAGTATATATAAAAATATATTCTATATAGCATATTGTTATTCAGCTTTTATAGTGATGAAGGTGTAAAAGAAATTCAAAAATTATCAATAAATGTTAACTTTCGGTTTTTAAATCGATTTATAGTCTTGTTTAGCTTGAATGTATATTTGATTTTGTATAATTATCTTTTATCCTAATTTTAATAATTATGAAACTTTTGTGGAGGTTAAAATGGTAAAATCCTTTATGAATTTTTAAAAATAAAGCATTTAATTATTTTAAAATTTTAAATATTCTGTTTAGAAGCGATCATTTTCAAACACAAAAGATTTTATATAGATTCATAAATTTAAATATATTATGTTTATTAAACTTTTAAAAATAGATCTTCTTCTCCGAAAACGTTTAAAATAGAAAATAACTGAAAATGAAACAATTCTTAGAAAGAGAAGGAAGTAAGGAGGAAAAAATGCACGCACGTTAAGTCAGTCAAGCTGTTTATCCAGTAGGAATTATGGCCTTGAGTACTTATTTATAATTTAAATAATAAGCGTATTAATGAAGAAGAATGTTGATTTTAGACGTGTGGCATCTCTTTTGCTTGGTTTATTGTACTAAATATTACAAATATAATTAGATCAAAATTTAAATAATTGAGAGTATTAAATATGTATCTAATATTACTTATAATCTAGCTCTTCATTTTTCATTTAATAATGTAAATAATGTAATATAAACCGTTACATTATTTGTTGAATATTAGTTAATATTTCTTACGTGTAACAACTAGTCAAGAAAAGAAAAATTTAATTTTGTTTCTTAGGAAAAATAAGGAAGAATGAAAGTGATAAGCACAACTTAAAATATACAAGATATTAATTAAATTAAAAATTATATATATAACCGCGATAAAACCGCGAGCTATCAGATTAAGTTTGGTTTTTCTTGTATTGCATGCTGCAGAGTTAGTAGGTTTTGTGGATTAATAAACATCCCTTTGTGTTTATCCACGACTCGTCATTATTGTTTACCTTTCATCTACGCGACAATATTAATGACCTTTTTAAAATTTCTTGGTTATGCATGATGTGATTTCAATTAACTTTATTATTCGGATACAACTTTGTCATTCTTTAAATATATAAAATTAAGTGTCAGATTTAAAAACAATCATAATGTATATTTTATGTTACTATGCATATGTAGCTAGAACTATTTCTAAGATTAACAGCACCAAACCTTTCTCACTAATTTCTAGCCTTATTAACAAGAGTACAAACGTTTCCGGCCTTCTTAATAGGCCTTCCTCGGGTACACTGTGGAGCGTCGGTTAGAAGAAGTTTAAATGCTGCCAATGTTTACCCAGGTATCGTCTTACCAGTGACGTCATCGTCGACTATCCCAGGTATCGTCTTACCAGTGACGTCATCGTCGATGATAGGTATACGATACCGAGGGCGAAAATTACATACTTTTGGTAAAGAAGGGAGGTGTGCAGATAGGATACTTGCTAAAGCTGGGGGAAAAAAGGTTTTAGAGTAAGCGCGCTACGTACAGGGGATGCACAACCACAACAGGGGGTTAGTGGGGAGTGACGTCATAGTTGAGGCCGTAAACACTCAACGCTACAGTGAGAAGAGGCGTGCGAACGACCGTGGATGGGAAGGGGGTTACGATTAGAAGGTAGAATTGGAAATAAACGCGACAAGTAAAAAAGCGCTAACGGTTGCACGCGGTGAGGGTGGGATGGTCTATTTATTTCAAGGGGTTGTCGAAGAATGATTTCCAAGCGGAGGAGAGCGAGTCCGCATCTCTGCTGTTGATACAACCGTCTTTGAGGGATTGCTTAAATATTTCAATTGTTTCGACTGTTCTAAGCTTAGTGTGGTCGTGCATAGGAATAGTAATCCT